CGCAGTTACAACGCAGAGGCGCAAGTCGATGATGTAATCTGGACTGTCCCAGTTCTCAATTTTTTTTGCACACTTGTAACCTGCGCACTCGAACACTATGTGCACTTCGACTGAATCCACACTTCACAGAGAGGCGTAGGGTGCGCACTGAGCATTGATTGACTTCAAGGATCTTTTGAGGTGTACATTCAGTGATTACTTTCTGACAGTTTCAATAAAATCTGCTCAGYGGGTCATAAGATTCTTAAGCACACAGACACTAGCAAAAACAGTATCACTTTCAGCCTAGGTCATCAATAAGAGCACTTTGTTTAATTTACTWAAAGTGTGCTAAAAGTATTTCAAACGAGTGTGTAATTGTACTGTTTTGTGTGTACAGGTGTGTGGTTGCAGGTGTTGGAGGTTGTTGGTGTGATGGCGGTGATTGCTAACGGTCTGGTCATTGGAATCACATCAGACTTTGTTCCTCGCCTGGTTTACCGTTACCGTTACGGCCCGTGTGCCACCGGACTCGCAAACACACAGTCAGTAAAGTCTCCCGGTGAAAACAGCTGAACGGATGTCAGCAAGACTGTGCTTTGTCCTCATGTGTCTCTGTCCTCTGTTTGCAGCTGCATGGAGGGCTACATCAGCAACACTCTGTCCACTGCCTATATGAGCAGTGACAACCAAGATGAATTTCTACTGCCAAATCACAGTAACATCTCTACAGCCATTCCATGCAGGTGAGAACACTGACAGACTCTGTCCTGTGCACACACAGGGCACACACATTTACAGCCAAAACAACTGTTTCCTGTTTACAGCTACAGAGACTACAGGACCGTGGATGACAACTCTCTGACCCCTCAGTTCTGGCTGGTTCTGGCGGTACGCTTGGCCTTCATCATCCTTTTTGAGGTTTGTACCAGTGACGCGGTGAAGATCGTATTTAACATTCAAATGAGGGAATCTTGATCAAACTTTACATTATTTTGTTTCTTTATCTTCCATGTATTTATTCCCTCAGCATGTTGTGGTGGTGTGTAAGTTTATAGCAGCCTGGTTCATTCCTGACAGTCCCATTAAGGTGAAGAACGACTGTCGGACTGATAAACTAAAACGGCTCAAAAATGAGTTAAAGTAAGTCAAACTTTTGGTCACTTTATTGATTTTGTCACACGCACTTCTAACTTCTAAGTTGTTCAGACTTTCCAAAAGTGTTGAAAAAAATTTAGCCCACAAACTCTATGCATGTTAAAGTATTTACATTAAAATGTAAGCAATTTTGTCTTTTTTCACCCATAGTGTAACTCACTATACAACTTTAGACTTTCTATTATTTCCTCAAAATGCACAGAGCTGACATCTAAACTCCCAKTGTATCTGAGCTTTCTCTTCAGAACTTGAAGGGAAGGGTCTTTTGAACGTTGCTCATACATAAAACACTAGACATACACGCAGATAAAATTGTTGGTACCCCTCGTTTAATGAAAGAAAAACCCACAATGGTCACAGACATAATTAGAATCTGACAAAAGTAAGAATTTCTATGGTGACTAATCAGCCACTGGCWGCAGCTTTAATGTTTTGTTTYATCTCAGTTCTCTTTACATTTMTTGTACAATCAATACAGCAAAATGTCACCATTTTGTCCATTTACATTTTAGATTTTAGTCCCAAACGGTTACTGGGCTTGAAAAAAGTTTATGCATGTTGGAATTTCAGGAAGAAGCTGCATTAGTACCCTTTAAATTTTTTTTCATAGGTTTTTGTTTTAGACTAATTTCCATTTTACTCCATTTCACTTAATGTGTGTTGGTTTGTATTTTTCAATTCAGGTCAAGGAAAAGCAAATCTACCCAAGTCTGACTCCCCCTCTGGCTGAGGCATCTAAAGAGATGGATTCATGTTTATTTTCTTTTACATTTGCTGTTGAATCACCAAAACGTGTTGTGGAAGGATATAATTAGAAAAACAGCTTATGTTTGTTTTACATTTTGCTACAAAAATAAGTATTTTTCTTGTTAAATGTTCAAATTTTTTTATTTTTCGATGCACATTTTGAACAGATTTTAGTCCAAAGTTTTCACTCTCAGGTTACAGAAAAGTATCT